TGATTATTAGTGATCCACTGGCCAGGGTATCAAGTTGTTTATGTTTTAGAAGATCCATCTGGAGTTGTTGGATTTTGTCGTTTATTATACCTAACTGGTTAAAATAGAAACAACATTCCTCCCTGAGGAAGAGGCAAAGAACACTTCTCTCTGCTGTTAATAAATCTAATTCTCTCTGCTTTTGAAGTACTACAGTGGCCACTGAGTGTATTTAATCCTGAAGAGTAAGGATAGTTGAGTCAGCCATTGGGAATACTGGATGAATTTCCAGGAAAGCCGAATATAAATAGCTAGGGAAATAGTTCTTCTGCTGCAGTGGCTGTACCTGCAGTTATGGCCAGGACTGCTAGAAAGGGTATCAACTGAATTGTTCAATTCTTGTGTTGTGTTGCTGGGAACCTAGTGATGGCAAGGGTTCTTCACTGTGCACCATCCCTAATTTTAGAAAAAAGGGGACACCAGGGTATAAACCCCAGAACACATAGTAGGAGTGAAGCCCCTTTTTGGAAGAATTTGGTAAATTTAAAATAGCAAGTTTTTCATTTAGTAATTTAAAGGCATGACTTGTTACATGTTATTTGCTAACACAAAACAGCTATGTAAGCAGACCTGCTCGAAGATCTCATGCCCCCTCTAAGCACATGTAAGTCACATAGCTAACAACCTTATTGAGAAACAGAGCAGGTAGTCTTTCATTAATATGCAGGGTGAGTCAAGTTCACTTTGAAAAAATGGCCAATGTGGGTATTTCTCTAACTCTGAAACATTTCTTACCATTATTTCAGGTGTCCCCTTCCTACCTTGTACGATTAACCACAGATGTCTTATTTGCTAAGGCTCAGGGAGAGAGCATCACTCAAGGACAGAAACTAAAGAACCTGTTTAATACATCATTTAATACAGTACACTACCAAAGACCAACACATCAACCTGCTGGGAATCAGCAATTTCTAGTACAGATGTATTTGTGATTTGTGATTGGTTATGGATTCCCTTCTATGTCACTGAGAGTGCAAACCATATCCTGTTCTGCAAGCTTGAATTATAAATGTCTTATGTGAGGGGGCAGTTTACACTGCTTATGGTGTAGCTCTTGCCTCATTAACTTTTTGAACAGGTTAAGGATATTACAATAAGTTGTATGAAGGTAATTTGGTTTGCAATGATTCCTTCCAGTTTTCAGATCTAAGGTCTAATTCAACTATTTTTTACCTCACAGCTTCATTTTCTAATATACAAGCTGAGGCAAGTAACTGCCTGAAGTGGAAAATCACGCTTTAAATTGTCTTTACATTGCCACCATCTCCTAAGTTATCAAGATAATATCCACAAACCTTTAAAAAAATAATAAAAAAAATATTTTTATATTTATGCAACTGCAATACACTGTGGCATTCAAATTTTACATGTTATTAAAACTAATCATTATGAACTAAATACTTGTCAAAAAACAAAACCAAAATGTTGAGTCCTGAGAATGATTAATTACAAGAAAAACATAAACAATTAATTTTATACCTAAGTCTAACTAATAGCACTATAAAAGACTGGAAAAGAATTTATTATAAAGAGCCAAAGAAAAGACCATTTTACAACCTACAGTTCTAGTAGCAATGGCACACCTTTCCTCTGTTTTCTGTACAGGGATAAAAGCTGTGGGTACAGGCAGTTTTGATAGTGCAGACTCCTTCAGCTGGGGATCAGAACAGTTCTTGGGGTAGCAGTTCAAGGAACCACTGGTTTGTTGGGGTTCTGTACTGGTGCAGAGCTACTGGGAGTCTCTGCTCTCGGCACTGTGGGGTCTTTCTTATTGTATCTGTCGGAGAGAACTACTGCCATCACTGGAACACTGGTCTCCACTGTAGTTCCCAGTTCCCCAAAGATATGGTGGGATGACAGAAGGGTAAGGAAACCAGATGCTGTTAGAATCCTGTGTCAGGAACATCAGCTAGTCGAGCTACATACCTGTATTCATGTCCTTTTAATGAAACTGTAATGTCATTAGTATCTGCAGGTTTAACACTCGCACAGTAACAGCAACACTCCAAGAGTTTTTACAATATAATATTAATTTATACTCAGATTCAAGAGGTCAAGTAGTTTACAAGATTCTTTGAAACTAAATTGTATTAAAAAACAAATTTCTAAAAACATTTGTAACATTTTACTTAAAATACCTTAATGTTTCCAAAAGAAAAAGGTGAATGTTTTATTGTTGATGTTGTTTTAATATGGATCACACATACAGTTAATAGAAGTATCAATGGTAATTCAATTACAAAGGACTGTTTGGTTTATTAATCTTAGGTTTTTTTTTTTAATACTAAAGCAGTTAGCTAGTGTGGGCTCTAAAGTGGTTTATTCTAAGACTTTTAACGGAATAAGAGTTTAACTTATACTGAATTATGCATCAAATATGTAAAAAAGGGAAATAATGATGACAAGAGTAAATAATCATATCCCACACACTTTTTCTGTAAAGAGAAGTAGTCTAAGATGAGAAAATAGACAAGTCTAGGTTCTCTGGGGTTGTGGATGGTAGACTGTTTTTTCTTTGTCTTATATCAAAAAGCCACTTATGAGTGAGTATTGTATTTGTCTTTCTGGATCTATCTAGTTTCTTCATACAGTGAAGATACAGCTAGAACAGAAAAGTATCAAAGACAGAAAATAACTTTGGGAATTGCATCAGGAATAACAGCATGTCTAGCCCTACCACTTAGTTACCTACAACTTTCATTTTCTTGACCAGGAAAATGTCCCTTTAAATTCTTTATGAATAAAGGTAAAACATGTACAGATTAAATGGCACTTCAAATACCTGTTACGTCAAAAAGACCGCGAAGTATAGGGGCTGGAGATGGTGGGGCACCAACTGCTTCCTACATCCCCAGACAGAGACATTTACACAAGTGCCTCTCTCTGTACCATGGCTCCCCAGACTTCTGAATGCCATGGTGGCAGGCATGTCACTGGCTAATTGAGCTAATGAGTTCCAATACAGGGCAGTCTCTTTAGCGAAGTATGTCCAGATCCTGAATGTCACTAGTATTATAAAAAATCCCTGTTGATGTTTCTCTAAACTTAGAGAAACAACACTATTAAGTACAGCAAGAAGTGATCCAGAAGCAGTTAGTATCGAAAGAAAATGTTGTATCCATACATGTCTGAGTATCAGATTAGAGAACATTTTGACTACCTCTCTCTTTGTTAAGTATCTTCCCACTCCTTTCATTTTTTTTGAAAAATTAAACAGGAAAAACAAAATTCAGTATTGCTAAATAATACTTATTTACTACATAGCAAATTTCTTTATCAATTCTTATTTCAAATATAAAAAATAAAATTATAGGCCTCTCTGACTCTAGCATAGACTTATTGATTCAGTATTTCAGTTAAGGGACGCATATGACTGACAGAGTGTGAAATGGCTGACAATCACCCACTGTCCAGACATCGGGTGTCTTATAAATGTTATAATGAAGCAGAATAGTAAAGTAATAATTTAATGAATGGAGAACCATAAGCTGATACAGAAGTAGACACCTGAAACAGTATTGAATGAGAAAGATGGGATAAAACAATAATCAATCTAATTATTGGTGATAATACAAACTGTCTGATTTTTACTTTTTTAAAAAGTAAACAAACTACATATCAATCCCAGTTTCAACTCCCTCCCCTCCTGCTATTCTCTCCATCTTTCCCCCAACCCCACCCCACCCCAAACCACTCCCCAGAGAGAGCAATGCACATTGTTCCAAGGAAGGACCAAGGGCCTCCCTACTATATCTAGGTTGAGCAAGGTATCCATCCAAAGAGAATGGGTTCCAAAAAGACAGTACAATCAGTAAAGACAAATTCTTGTGCCACTGCCAGTAGCCCCGCAGTCTGTTCCAGTCACACAACTGTCACCCACATTCAGAGGGTCAAGCTTGGTTACTATGCTGGTTCCTTCCCATTCAGGCTGGAGTTGATAAGCTCCCATTATCTCAAGTAAACTGTTCCAGTGGGTAAACCCATCATGGTCTTGACCTCTTTGCTCATATTCCCACTCCTCCCACTCTTCAACTGGACGTTGGGTGTTCAGCCCAGTGCTCCGCTGCAGGTCTCTGCCTCTGTTTCCATCACTTGCTGGATGAAGGTTCTATGGTGACGTTTCAGATATTCATCAGTCTGACTGCAGGGCAAGGCCTGTTCGGGCACCCTCTCCTCTGTTACTTAGGGTCTTAGCTTGGGCCATCTTGTGGATTCCTGGGAATTTCTATAGTGCCACATTTCTTGCCAGCCCCACAATGGCACCCTCAGTCAAAATATCTCTATCCTACATAGAATGTGCTAGACCAGCCAGGGATAAACAGTGAAATTCTGTCCAGGAGCAGAGAAATAAAGAATACCTAAAGCTAGGCATGGCAGCACAGAACTAATCCTAGAATTGGGAGAGGAAGGAAAATTTGGAGTTCAGGGTCATTCTCAGATACGCAGTGAAGTTTGAGGGCAACCTGGACTATGTGAGGCCATATCTCAAAACAAAAAAATTAAACAACTAAAGGTCCATACATTACAGCTGCTTGGTAGGAGGAGGGAAGATGGCAAGTTCATGGCTTGCCTGGGATACAGAAGGAGTTCAGACCCAACCTGAACAACTTAAAGAGACCCTGTCTCAAAATTTAAAAAAAAAATTGTCCTGGGCAGTGATGGTGCACACCTTTAATCTCAATACTCAGGAGTCAGAGGCAGGCAGGTCTGTGAGTTTTAGGACAGCCTGATCTACAGATAGAGTTCCCAAGAGTGATAACTCACAAAGCTGCCTCCCTGCAGCTGTCTGCAGGGGTCACAAGCTGCTAGGCTTCACCTATTACTGCTGGGAAGGGGTCTTGGGAACCCTGAAAACTTACTTCCAAAGCTTGGTTACTGTCTGTATGTTTTCTTTTCTTTTTTTCAAGACAGAGTTTCTCTGAGTAGTGTTGGCTGGGCTGGAACTCAGAGATGCACCTGCCTCTACCTCCTAAGTGCGAAAATTAAAAGCGAGCAACACCACTGCTCGACTTACTTTCTATATTTTAAGAGCCTCTTTACACCATTTAAGAAAATGCTTCAACTCTGATGACACATCTATACAACACAGACTATATAGGGGCTACACAACTGAATCAAAACAAAACAGCTAACCAATAATGGTATTCTCCATAACCATATTTAATATTCCAAAGTATGTAAACAGTAAGTGCTTTCTGAAACAAGTGAAGTCTTGATAACTGCTCAAGCTGATCTCCAACGTGCAGCAATTCTCCAGCCTCAGCCTTCCAACTGCAGATGTGGGACACCTCACTCAGCCAGAAACATTATTTTCAGTTTCAAAAAGAAAAACAATGTATTCTGAAAAAAGAAAAAAAACTGCAAGCAGGGGATTACAATGAGACATCCTACTCCTTAGACAATGTCTTATACAATATAAGGCTTGCTATATTTGACTCTATGGTTTGATATGAGCCATGAAGACAGTCTATCCCATCAATAGTGAGTAATTAGCCTAAACCTGGGGAGCGCCCCCTAGAGTGAAAAGGCAGTACTTACAAGGGCTCCTTGCATCCCATTGAATACTGTTCAAAGAGAAAGGTCTTCCTGGAGTGAGGCTTAGAGCTGGTGAGTCCATCTCCCGCACACAGGTCTCCACCCACCACCGTGCCTACGACAAACATTATTAAAAATGGTATTCCTCTGTTACCTCCCATCCCAGCTGAGCCAGAAGCCAGTCCAAGTCCTCCCACAAGTCCTATCCTCAAACCCCTAAGGCGTCCCGAGCTCCAGGGCATCCCAGGCTCCTCATCATTCCCCATAAACACACAGCTTTACCGTCTCCTCAGCTTCCCCAACCCCCTCAGCGTCCAGGGCTTCGCAGCATCCCCAGAACCGATTTGCAACATCCCCAGACCAGCCCTGCCCTCTCTCTGCCACCGCTCACCACCGGATCCCTCGCCCCTCACCGTCAGCAACTCCCTGTACGATGAGACCTGCGAGCAGACTCCAGAAGAAGAGGAAGACATGGGACCAGACCAGACACGCCTTAGCCTTGGAACTCCTGACTAGCAAAACAGCCAGAAAGAAATGAACCCCCATATGGAATGCATGAGAAGGGAGGCGGGGCAAAGGTGGCAATTGGAGGGAACCGGGGAGGTGGGCGGTGACGGTGGGGGAGTGGGGCGGGATCATGCAGAGCTGAGCCCTAGCGGGGCGGGACCAGAGGCAGGGGTAGGGTAGGACACAGTGTGAGCTGAGATCTGTTGAAGCTCACCTGGGGGCCTATTCCACCTCTGTGCGAGTCCAGGTCTCCAGTGTTAGTGTTGGAAAAGAATCCCCACCGGGCATAGTTTAGCCAAACAAATTCAAGATGAAAAAAGTCCTGTAAGGCTTTTATGATTTTAATATTGTTCTTGTTTGGGGAAGTTTCTGTAGTCTTGAGTTTGTGGCAAAACTGCTTTAGTCTCCCAAATGCCAGAATTGTAGGTGGGAGCCATCACACCCAACTTCTCTAACAAGGGGTGCGTGTGTGTGTGTGTGTGTGTGTGTGTGTGTGTGTGTGTGTGGGCAGTGGACATAGACGCCTTGAATCCCAGCTCTCAGGGGGTAGAGGCAGGCAGATCTCTGTGACCTCAGGCCAGCCTAGCTGTCACCAGCACTTACCTTTCAGTAGAGAGGAAGGAATTAGGTTTCCATACAGTGCAGCACGCCGCTCCCGCCAGCAGAAGAGACGACCGCAACAGGATTCTTCTCAGAACACACTTTATTGGAGCACTTACACTTGAGGTTGTAGAGAGGCAAAAGACCCCGTCCCCGTGAAGCAGAAGAATATATACGGTGCCAGACAAAGCCCTGACGTGTCATCAACCCAATGGCTCAGGCCAGAATGGAGTGATTGTGCTTAAATTATGATTGGCCAGATGGGATGGCCAGAT